CATTCGGACTAATGCCTTCATTTTTGCTGTTGTTATCCCAACCTTTTGACTGTTGTACCCTCACACCTTCTTCATATGTCTGCCGATCCGCATAACCTAGAAGAAATTGAACACTTTATTTCATCTACTGGGTTAAATTGTTTTCGTTCTGCCGTTCCTATCTGGGGATGTTGTGTTCTTTTTTTAGTACTGCTGAGTTATGGATAGTCTTGTTTCCACTGAGTCGTATTCTATACTCTGACCAAGGGATTGAACTAGCAACTACGACGCACCACATTCCAGAACTAGTACTTTAATCTAATGTACTATTTTCCCGTGGAACCACATCGTCTTGTGGATTAAACGTTAATTCGTAAAAAATGGGAAAAATCTAAATCCAGCTTTATTAAAGTTTTAATTTCTGTATTTGCGGCTTTGGGGGGGGGTAATTTTTAAAATATGCAAAAAAACTTCAAAATACACACATACACACTAGGCTCACATATCTATACAAGCTTTTGTCATTTTTGTCATTTCAATTCAAACAAGACAATAAAGACACTAATAAGCAAGGAGTAACCGGTTTCAAGTAGAACTGTCTATCTAATTTAGACCAAACATAATAAGTAATGATAACGAAAAATTAGAATAGGTTTGTGTTTGTATTCATAAGTATTACGGCAATTTCAAAGTTTATAACATTGATGAAATGCTTATTGAAGCTTTATCTTTACAAGAGTCAGATTAGACCAAAAATTGATTATTGCTGCTATGCCTAGAGGGGAGCTACTCAATCCTAACTCTCCAGTCTTGACAGAGTTCAAAATCGTTTGCACGGATTTCTGATGGGGGAAAAGAACCATTTTCCAATCTTCAGCTTCTTTCCAACATGCACATCATCACATGCCCATCGCTTGTAGATAGGTTTGCGTATCATCCGGTTCGAGCTACTTCCCTGTCTTTTGAACAGGTATAGATGTTTTCCTTTGTTTCCTGTTTAAGATTTTTGGATTGGTTCCTTCTTGTAAAGTCTTCTCATTATCTTTCACTCGTAACTCGTTGCGCGTTAGTGGAATTATCCTCTTGCTTGAGATGAAATAATAAAAAATAGTAAATGTTCACATGAGATCCATTCTTTATTTTGACTAATTCAGATATTTAAATTTAGAACAATGTTATGCCATTTCTGTAGAGATGAATCATCCTTATTTTATTTGTATTCCAATTGTAAGGTAGCATTTCCATTCAAGCAGTTTTGTCCCCCAAAACTGCTACGTTGTGTTACAGGCTCCAACGTGAGTGACAATCTTAACCGCTTCAAGTTAAGAGTCAGTGGTTAGCTTCCCCACCTCATTTTCATAATCTTCATTTCCTCTGATATTCATATCACACCAATTCATCATAACCATTTCAACAGTAAACATCTAATTTGAGTGGCTATCGAGCCTTGTGTTTTGTAAATTAAACTTTTCATCTCAAAGACAATTCATTTTGATATTTAAAGAAAAGTGTCAAAAGTATAATTGATAATAGCAAAGAATGACAAGTAATGATCGCCGTCGGATTTAAAATCTCGGAAGACCATTTATTTTTTATGCTCAAGTGTCAGGCTCTCTTCTAATGTCTCATACGACTGCAAAATCAAATATGGTTGAGGTAAACACGATTGTAAATGATGCATGTACTTGCCTGTTCTAATTATGCGGTGGAGCTCTATTTGTACTTCATCCTTGCCTTCTCCGTGAAGAATCTAGATGGTCTCGTGTGTCAACAGACCACCTACGGACTAATTGTTGCCATTGAAGGTGATGTTAAGTGATGTTTTACAATATGGCGTGGTTGATATTAAACAATATCAGGTTTTGTTTACAAACATTCTTAAATCAAAGTTCTAGGTAGCAAGTTATTTTCCTTCTGTGTAAAATTTTTTTGGTATTCTTCCATGGATTGATGTAAAAAAAAAGTTCAATAAATTTAAGATGCACATTAGCATACTCAAAGAAATAAAACCTTTATACAAATCTTTTTTTTTCTGGCAGAGTAATTGCGAACGACACATGAAATGTACGGTATCACATAGGAAACAAATTTGATAGATGAAAATATTGAACACTATTTTCATGACCCCAGATATAATAGTAACGTAACGGTTATTGGCACTACTAATAAACTACTAATTTCTTAGTCATTAACTGTTATTTTACTTAATACTAAAACCCATATTCATTTTGTTAGACATATTTGATACGGAATTAATGAAAACTGCACGACACTTACGAAATTAACGTCAGATAAATAAAACTAAATACATATTTTATTTAGGGTAAAATTTACCAGACTTGACCAAAAATTATTTGATCCAAAGATTTGACACAGAAAAATTAGTTTAAATCTACAGTACAGGATTAACTTGATCAAACCAAATTCATAAATAATTATATTGGTCATACATGCCTATCTAGACGACTCAAGCTACACTTACCCGACCGCAGCTCAATTAAAACTTATTTAAACACGCAAAGACCTACCCAAATCCATACGAAATATACTAGTAGAAAATACAAGTCTCATCCACATGTAAAAAAAGATTAAAAATAATAAAATAAGCTCTACTAATAAAAAAAAAGTCAACACTCGATAACATTAACTACGAACACGGGCACAATGTGCTATATTTTTGGAAAATAAAACATTACTATAACTTCAGACACATATATAAAAAAACATTCACACATGCAGTTAAAAATAAAAAATACAAACCGTCCTTGATAATGGCTAAAAGAATAGCCGAAAGTACTCGGATATGCAGAAGACTTGGACAGTTTTACACACTTTGTGTCAAGAAACCACTTGTACGAACACAAGAAAAATTAAATAAGAAGCAGTACCTTCTCAATTACCTTCAACAAAATTTATATATATATATATATATATATATATATATATATATATATATATATATAAATATAGATAACTAGACTCATTTCGAAAAACCCTCGAATTTTTGATTTGCTAATCAAATCAATCTTGAGGGAAAAAAAGGTTTTAAAAAAAGAAAGAGCTACAAACATGAACTTCTGCCGACAAAAAAATCGCACAGATGCAGGTCTGAAGCCCAAAGAAAAAACCCTGATACGAGTAACAACTAACTAACAAAAGAGCTCAATACAACCGTAGAGCAGACCTAGATATACTTAGTGAGCCAGACAAACCTACCTAGGTTTCACCTAAACGGATCGTCAGGGAAAGTTTGGTTCTATCTAGTATCTATCTATCTATCTATCTATCTATCTATATATATATATATATATATATATATATATATATATATATATATAATATTATTAATAATAGCAATTAATATGCGTACAATCGTATAATCTAATAAATTGTTCTGCTTATAAAAGTATCAATATTTAATGAAAGTCATCTTTTCAGTTCGTTATTGGAACTGTCGACAGTAAATTATTTTAAATATATATTATTATGATAGATAGATAGATAGATAGATAGATAGATAGATAGATACTCAGACCATTGAGTATCTATGTAGGTATATATATATATATATATATATATAGAGAGAGAGAGAGAGAGGAGATGAGAGAGAAGATAGATAGATAGATAGATAGATAGATAGATAGATAGATAGATAGATAGATAGATAGATAGATATCTTCCACCATTGATAGTTGATTTTTATGTCCACACTATCTACATGTGTATGTATGTGTATGTGTTTATTATATACATACATATATATATATATTGGCAAAGAGACACAGATAGAGATGAAGGAGAGGATCGTCTCTCTCCCTCTTTCTCTCTCTCTCCGTATGCTCGATATGTATGCATTCAATATGCACACTGAAATCCAGCTTGGAATTGTATAAACACTTTGTTTTTAAATTACATATTTAAGGCATCATATTTTCATTAACTTGCAAGTAGAAGCGTCCGTTGCCCAAAAATGGGGTATTACTCATTAAAATAAACAAGATTAACAAAAAAAATTAAGATCTTTTCCAGAGTTATGAACTGATGAAGTACATAAAATCTGTGGCGCAACGTGAACATTTGACGTATTCATGTCATGCGTATACAATCAATATTACGATAGTTTTGGTGATTACAATTTTGTTTTTCCTTTGATTTGTTTTCTATATAATATCTAAATGACTGTAATATCCACTGTTGGAAAGCATGCATAAACACATTTATCAACAATATGTAAAAACTCCTTTTTAAATAAATGTTTTTGATTTCTGAATAAAGTGTAAAAGTTATCTATTTGCCTGATTAATGTTTAAAATCACTTCTCGATGCATAAAACTTCGCGGTAATGTATAGCATTTAATTATCCCAAAACTATGTTCTCGCAGACGATCCATGATCGGAGACAACTTAATGAAGAATTAATTTATAAAACAAGAATAATAAATAAAAAGAAAAAATGACGAACTTAAAGACGTGACCTTCATGTTTTGACATTTCAATTAATTAAATTTAACCTCTTTTAAAATATTAAATTTTTAAACTTTGTAGTTTTTCCATTATTTTTTTTAGTTTATTCTTTGTGTTATTTATTTCACATACTTTTGTCTTATTTTTTCGTTCAGAATTCTTTGGTAATGGGGTTGATCGGGTGTAGAGAATGTTGAATTAAAATATTAGAAAGAGATCCTTGAAATTAAATTTTCTGTGGCTGAATTTATTTCGTTATATCTTTGTTCTAACTCACCCCAGACTTGAACTCAAAATTCAAATTTAATTTTATTTTATTTTTATCCTTCTTAACATTCACTTAATTTCTTTATTCTCTTTCTCTCTCTTAAATTTCCCTCACTCTCCCTGAGATTTCCAATGTTCTCTTTTTCTACCCGCTTCAGGATTTTTTTTAATCTTTTCTTTCTTTCTCTTTCTCACTCTATCTCTCTTATTCTCTCTCTAATTTCCCATTTCATTTATCTCTAACGTTTCCACGCTCTGACTCTGCATATCTCTTTACATCTATTTTTTACATGCTTACTTTAAAATACTTTCTTTTTATTTTCTTTATTTCATTCCTTGTATCCAGCCCTTTCTTGTTTAGTTTTGTTCTGTTTTGTTCCAGAGAATTTCCCCTATTTTTTTCTGATCTTTCTCTTTTTCCAGGTGCCTTTACTATTCGTCTTTCCCGTTACTCCCACATCGCATCATCATTCTACCATCGCCACCACAGGCCCGCCCTTTATTTTCCCCAACCCTTTTTCCTCCCCACCACCAACAGCATTCCTTTCTTACTTATCTCTTCAACTCTGCCGTCGATTCCTTTATCCGTCCCTCCACCAACACTGCCAATGCCGCCACCGCCATTATATATTCAGTCTTCATCCCTAAATCCTTCTTAACTTATTTTTCTTCCATCCCTCTCCCCAATTTGTCTTTACACAAATCCCCTTTTTCCTTTCATGCACACAAACATCTCTTGCTACATTCCAGCTATATAACTCTTTCTCCCTTCATTTCCTATCGTTTCCCTCCTTACTCCTCTTTCCATGGTTATCTCCCTTCCCGTTCCTATCAAAACTCCCTTACTTTTTTTTTTCAACTTCAACTAGCCATCTCCCCACTTTCGTCCTTATTTTCACTTTTCATTCATTGCATTTTCTGCCTTTACTTACATCTTCTATTTTTTTTCCTTCATCCCTCATTTTGTAGTCATTTCTATATCTGTTCTTTTACCCCCAAGCTCCCTAAACTTGCTATATTCATTCTTACATTTTTCCTCCTCGATTTCCTTCATCCTTTGCCGTTTTTCTTTCAAACAATAGAATTTTATCAGATTTTATGTAGTTATTCTTTAAGTTTATATTTTCTCCTTCTCCTTGTCCTAAATTCTTCTTTCAGTCTTAGTATTTGTATTTTGGTTAATACATTAATTAATTTCTGCATATTTTTTTTACTTTTTACCTCTATTTTAAACTTATTTACTCTCTTTTTCTTTTTGCTTCTTTCTTTGTTGCTTTCCTTCGTTTCTTTTCCTTTCTCTCTCTCTTCTTTTAATATTCACATCTATTTTCATTTCCTCTTTTAATTCCTCTATATTGTTCTATCTATCACTTTGTTTCACTAACACCTCTCGTTTTTAAACATTCCTTCTTTTTCTTCATAATTCTTTCTTGAACCGACTTTCTCCAATTCAACAAGCTCTCCGGCATTCCATTATCTTTCCCTATCTGATTCGTGTTTAATTATTTGTTCAATACTCTACATTGGTTTCACGTTGAAGTAGTTCACTTATATATATGAATTTTTCACTTCTGTATTTTTTTCAGTACTCTGTAATATAATTCTTTCAAAAATATTTCACACACACATATGTATATATAAATGATAAACATTTATTAATAGATTTTCATTAAATTATTTCTTAGAGTTCTGTATACTTTCATTTCAATCATGATTCAATTCATTATCTTATTTCTTTAATCGTATCATCACTGTTATTACTGACAGTGTAATTTTCATTTATTTAATCAAATCTAACAAGGTCAATTTAATGCAACCACATAGCAACTATATGAGGTTTGATCAAAAAGTATTAGAAATGGAAAGAAAACTACAACACATATCAATCCGGCATTTAATGTTATTCAAAATAGTTCCCTTCTAAAGCCACACACTTTATCCAGCATCGTTTCCATTGATGGAAGCATTCCTGAAACTCCTTTTTTGAGATAGTGCGAATCTTCCTCGACGCATTCACTTGGATTTTCTCGGTGTCTTGAAATCTCGTTCCTTTGTTTTTTTTGGAAAGAGGAAAGTTGCAAGCAGCGAGATCTGGGGAATATGGTAGTAGTCAAACCTGGGGAATGTTGTACTTCGCTAAAAACTGCTGCATAAGTCATGGTCATTGATGGACACTCTCTGGTGTGGTGAGACGACCAGAGTTTACACACTTTCCTTCCAGCACTGATATAAATAATTCGACTTTCTGGTTTAAATTTCAAGGATGTTTACCGTTAGTACAAATGAGTGTCGTCCCTTTAAAACAAATAATTATTTATAGATCATGTTTTTCTTATTTTGTCTTATTTTATTAATGATAATACTTACGGACACTGTCTATAGTTACTATTTGTCATAATTATTACAATATACATTCGCCATATATTAATACAAATATGTTTTAAAAATAGTTTAATATGTTTATCCTACAAATTTTTAATAAATTTATGAGCATCAATGAAAATTTTATTGTATCATAATTCTCACTAAGTATAATAATCAATGTTATTAACGACTTATGATATTTCATTCGAGTTATTACAGTAATCATTAATATCATTATTACAAATAGACATTATTTGTATTGTCATAATCATTGAAGTAATTAAGATGATCTCAATTACCGTCGTATTTATAATTACAGTATTAATAGTAATAATATATGATTTAAAACATTTTTATATTAGCCTTTTTAGAAATATTGATATTATTAATGTAATTAAAACATTTTATACACTGACGTGCCAAAAGTTCTAAGCAGTATGTAAAGTTAAAGATAGGTAGTGCTACCGTATCTTGACGCTATGAAAATGCTCATATATATTTATCAGTTGTGCTCTGAAATCTTGTGAGTCAGTGTGAACATCGGCTAAGCTACTTGTGGCAGTATGACAGGAATTATCGTAATTCAAATTGAACGTGATAGTGAAAGCCAGGCAGATAAGACATTACATTTCTGAAATTATGGAGAAATTTTACATCCCTCGATCTACGGTGTCACCGGGAATAGCTGATGGAACGTCTACCGCTTACTGTAACAATATAATGACTGACATTCTTCTTTTATGTGTCTTCAGGATGTAGGTGATCATTGTCCTCCACGTCAGCCTATCTTTTGTAGCTCTTATTAATTTTTATCTTTTCGTTATTTCTCCTAAACCATGTTCCGCAATCTATTTACTCAAACTCATCAAGTATGTTATGCACTGTTTTTCTCTGTTCCTATTGCCCTCAATCTGCCCCGTGGGAATCAGATTTTCCAAGCCTTTTTTTCCTCATTACCTGCCCCAGAAATTTTAACTGCCTTTTTCTAATGTTAATTATAAGCTTCCTTTTTGTTTCCATTCTCTCCAAAACCTCGTGGTTGTTCACATGTTCGGTCCATGGTATCCTCAGCAGATTTCTGTAGAACTAAAATTCTGTTTCTTGAAGTCTCTTCTTCATCTTTGGGGAGATTGTCCAACATTCGCTGCCATACAGGAGAACAGATATCAATATCCAATACTCTTTTCTTTTCCAACAAATTTTTCCTGTCTTTTAATACTCTACTTAGATTTTGGAATACGTCTTTGGACATCCCCCATTCGTCTTCAGATCTCAGTATCGCACTTTCCGTCCTCTGTTAGAACACTTCCCAGATATCTAAATCCCTGGACCTGCTTGATTTTAGTATTCCCGAAGTGTAATTTTCATTTTGGGCTCACCCTTTTGCTAATAAAAATGCATTCTGCCTTACTACGAGTCCTTAATGATCGCAACCAGAAACACCTGGCGGGAATTATCTGAGGTTATATACAAGCAACCCCGAAAAATCATTCCCACATTCAATGCAGATACATTTCAATTCAACATCTTTTTGACTGAATAGTTTTAAATATGGGGGAAGGTTCAATAGATTGCCCCTAATACTGGACACATCTTGCTGCGGAACTTTCAATAGCAAGTGACACATGAGGTTTGTTTGTGTTTATGTCGACTCCTTTTTGGAGCCATAGGGCCCAAAACAAAATAAATGGTGCTGCAGCAGTTTTAGTAGCAAGAGAAATATTCTCGGTCATGGTTTTATACCTTCTGAAATTTTTTATGGGACGGGGATTTATTTCAAAAAGTCTCCTTTGTAAGGCATAGGGTAAATAGCCATATCAAAAGATTCTGATGCAGTTTCAGTGACAAATGAATTTGTATAAGGCTGGGTCTTGTTCTTGAAGACATCTTTGTAGAGCCTAGGGCACACAACCACAGCAAATGATGCTGCTGCAGCTTCAGCAGCAGGTAGATATTTAATGGAACTGTGTTTTATTCTTGAAGACTTCTTTGTAGAGCGTACGGCAAAACAACCACACCAAATGATGCTACAACAGTTTCAGTAACAAGTAGATTTTTAAGTGACATAGTTTTATTGTTGAAGACTTCTTTGTAGAGCATAAGTCACACAATCGCAGTAAATGATGCTGCTGCAGCTTCAGTAGCAAGTAGATATATACGGAATTGATTTTTACTCTTCAAGAAATCTTTGTCGAGCATAGGGCACACAACCACACCAAATGATTCTACTGCAGTTTCAGAAACAAGTAGATTTTTAAGGGGCTTAGATTTATGCTTGAAGATATCTTTGTCGAGCATAGGACACACAACAACACCAAATGATGCTACTGCAGTTTCAGAAACAAGTAGATTTTTAAGGGGCTTAGATTTATGCTTGAAGATAACTTTGTAGAGCATAGAATACAGAACCACAGCAAATGATGCTGCTGCAGCTTCAGTAGCAAGTAGATATATAAGGGATTGATTTTTATTATAGAAGACTTCTTTGTAGAGTATAGGGCACACAACCACACCAAATGATTCTACTGTAGTTTCAATAGCAAATAGATATATAAGGGATTGTGTTTTATTCTAGGAGACGTCTTTGTCAATCACAGGGCACACAACTACACCAAATGATGCTACTGCATTTTCAGTAACAAGTAGATTTTTAAGGTACTTAGTTTTATTCTTAAAGACGTCTTTGAAAAGCATAGAGCAGACAACCACGCCAAATGATGCTACTGCAGTTTCAATAGCAAGTAGACTTTTAAGGGGCCGTGTTTTATGCTTGAAGACATCTTTGTAGAGCATAGGGCACACACTCCACACCAAATGATGCTACTGCAGTTTCAATAGCAAGTAGACTTTTGAGGGGCCGTGTTTTTATGCTTGAAGACATCTTTTGTAGAGCATAGGGCACACCCACACCAAATGATGCTACTGCAGTTTCAATAGCAAGTAGACTTTTGAGGGGCCGTGTTTTATGCTTGAAGACATCTTTGTAGAGCATAGGGCACACACCCACACCAAATGATGCTACTGCAGTTTCAATAGCAAGTAGACTTTTGAGTGGCCGTGTTTTATGCTTGAAGACATCTTTGTAGAGCATAGGGCACACAGCCACACCAAATGATGCTACTGCAGTTTCAATAGCAAGTAGACTTTTGAGGGGCCGTGTTTTATGCTTGAAGACATCTTTGTAGAGCATAGGGCACACAGCCACACCAAATGATGCTACTACAGTTTCAGTAGCAAGGTTATTTTAATGGACTGGCTTTTATTCTTGGAGATTCCATTCTGGAACATAGGGTATGCAACAACACGAAACTATGTAGTTGTATTTTAATAGTAATGTGGCTCTGTCTCCGTTCTGGAGGATCATGATATTGCATATTTTTACAATCGCAGGAAATGATTCTCCTGTAATTTCAACAGCAAGTGTATTTTCTTTCGATTGTTTTGTAAACTTGAAGTCTAAGTTTGGCTATCATACAAAGATTAACGGTTACATTTTTCTACTATTTCGATATAGTTTTTTAGTAGTAATGATAATATTTTTATCCCTTTTGCAACGGCATTAGTTTGAATTGTACACACACTTTCTAAGCTAGAGGTTGAACAATGTTTACCTTGTTAATCCTTTGTACTGTTAACAGTTAGGTCTTCGGCTACTACATGCTTTAAATTTGTTTTTATTATACAAAAGCTTCCTGTGGCTTCTTTTCAAGATATTAGTATAGTGATGTCTTTGATATTTATTTCATTCTTAATCCCTGGTAACTATATACACATTAAGAATTCTTTTTGCTAAGTGATAATTTTTTAATGGATATTACGACTGAATATAAAATGTGCATTCTACATCCTTTGTGTTTACTGTTCATGTTTCTTCTGAAAAAGTTATAACAAACTCTTAGCAATGTGTAACTAAAATGCGGGAAATTTTTATGAAGTTTATAAAAGAATTTGTACCTTGGGCAACAAAATAACCATGAAAGT